ACTTACCAGAATGAAAATGCCGGGAACACACTCTCAATCCCAGTGTCCATGAGAGTGTGTTCCCGGCATTTTCATTCTGGTAAGTTACAGAACATACTTACCTTGGCTCTGATGACTGTGTTCTCATTCGGTTTGATTACTTCCATGTCGTGAACTTTTCCATCTGTCAGCTGTTTGTAAGCCTCTAGCGACTTGTAGCAGCGAAATTTTTCATGTGTGTAGGCACTGACGCCACACACTAGATAGGAAAAGGCGGTAGAAATTCTTCCCCAACGCACCAGTCCTTGCTTGCTACTTCGTAGGGATCAAGTCCGTTTATGAAGCCCATCTTTTGCAGATAACGGTCCCTGGCTTCCCTCTGCAGTGTGTCTCGGTATATTCCGCATCCTTTCTTCGCTTTTAACATCACTGTTTACTCGTCTTTGTGCTCTTTCTCTGTGCTGTTTTAGGTCTTTGTTTACCGTAGCAACTAGCTGTCAATATGGCGGCGTACCCAGAATGCAACGCGCTGTGCCCGTCCCCTATACATCAGCCATTCTCATCCTCCCCTCTCTCATGACAAGGCGCGCACCTCTGGATGACCTAAAAATAATCTTTAATATCTCTTAAACAAAAGTAGCACAAACAATATATTTTTCTGCACAAATCTGCACTAACGTTGCACTAACCATTCAGTCTATTTGCAGAGTTTTTTGACGTGGGTGGGGTGTCAGCTTCACGCAGCTGCGCACGAGTCCTATCATGAAAAAAGGTTCATTGTGCGACCTGAGTATCGCGCAGTAACGGGGTGTCTGCAATGGTAACTGCGTTATAGTTACAGTCAAAGTAATTAGTTAGATAACGCCGTTACTTTCAACGCCGTTAGTCCCATCACTGCTCTGTAACCTCCTCTCTGTGAGTTCCAGTAGTTATCAGTTGCGCTCCTCTCAGTGGTTACTTTTTAATGTAACCCGAGCTTTAACTGAGTTGGGAAAAACTGCATTCTCCTACTCTGCACCTTGGGGATAGAATAACCTCCAGAAAGAGCTCAAATTAGAAACTCTCGTGTCCATTAATGAATTTAAAGCAACCATGAAAAATGTAGTGATGGAGATATGATTTTATTTTTTTATGTTTTTTTTTTATTTTTTTTTATTTTTTTAATTCTTTATTTTTTATTTTGCAAAATGTAATATGTTGTAAATATGTATGAACTTCCTGTGGTTTGGCTGCTACCCTGGCCAGGTCTCTCTTGAAAAAGAGATTCTGAATCTCAATGGGACTTCCCGGTTAAATAAAGGTTAAATAAAAAAATAAATAAATAAAAAAAAAATGTGGTGACATCATGAGTATGCTTTCTTCCCAATTGACCCATATTTATGCTGTGTGCTCCCGTTCCCCCCAAGTCCACACTTTCTGTGTTCTTCGCAAGAACATACTTGGTGAGGACACGAGTCCCTACTCGCATTCTAGTGAATTGAGAAACGGCCATAGACTACACTCATGAGAATACAGAGTGGAATAAATGTGACACCCATGCATGAACAAATAAAAGCCAATGATATATAAAGAGTAGAAAGATATAAGTTAATCTAAACAATGTATGTAAAAAAAAAAAAAAAAATCTGCAAAATCTGATTTATAGTCCCCACACTGCAGATATATTAGCATCGGTCCTTAAATTACAGCCAAACCCATTTACACAGTAACAGATAAAAGCTTTTAGATAAATCAAACATTACCCACCAAATATATGACTCAATAACCATTTATAACAACAAATTTCATTAGTTTCAGACAGAACTATTCACATACTGGTATTATATTAAACTTCACTTCCAATATTCACCACTGTTCGGTACTAAGTACCTTTTTCCTCTGATCACAGAGCAGCCGGCTGGCTTGGACTCGCATTGAATCACAGGATATCCAAGGCTACGTAGGATACACCGCACCTGTCCTTCAAATCGGGCAAAAGGAAGGACGCATTTGTTGGCTGCATAATGAGGAGTCTTGGAAACAGATACGAACAGACCTCGGCGCCACTCTATGGCCTAAACGGCCTACAAATCTGGCCTTCGGAGCACGCATGAATTCAAATTTAGCCATGTGACTTCTGCATTCCATTTTTTCTACATAAATCTATGGGAGTTTCGGCACTCTATTTAGTTAAATAACTCCGTATTGATTAAGTATGTGGTGTAAATTGCAAAGATGGGATCCTATTGCCAACCCTAGGGGTACTCATTACAGAACAGATGTATGCCTTTGCTTTTTCATAACATTGCTTGAAACAATAAAAAAATACAACCACCACAAAAAACAAACTTTATAAAGCATCCACTAGTGTTTGTTGTTTTTTTTTTTTTTTACTTCTAATGTCCTATACAGACAGTAAATCTTAAAAGAATTTTTGTTTTTGTGCCATATAAATCACGAACACATGTTAAAATTGATTTTACCCTTTAAACCTTGACAAATTAGTCCTGGTACATCAGCCTGCATAAAAAAAGCAGGGCTTTTACTTTAACTGCCTTTTTTCTGAGTGTTATACCTGAGGACAAGAGATATATTCATACTGACGTGTGTGTAATAAATGTTTGACTAGTCTTAGACATATTTTGCTTTATTACCGTAGATGTTTTACCAACTTCGTTCTGAAACTTATTGTCTTAACCATCATCAGGTTAAGAATGAATGATTGAGCAGATCCTTTCCTCACCACATGTAAAGAAAAAAAGACTAGACCATCAATTTCCTGTAATCTTGAGCCAAAGCTCTCAACTGTGGTTTAAAAGTTAGGGCAAGCTGCAGCCATACTTACAAACTGCAAGTACGTACAGGAAATGTGTGATTAAATAAGCTCATTTGTTTTATCTTGATGTTTGGTTCTTGACATTGTGTAACATGTCTGGTATTCAATAATATTAACTAAATGCAATCCCAAATTTATTTCAGTTCAAATGAAATAATGTCTTCAAGGTTTCAAATCACACAACTGTTAAAAATATAACAAAATGAATCAAAGAGGAAAAAACGGGTCAAACTAACTGCTGCCTCACCTGACTACTTCAGATGTAAAAGCATTACGACCACAACCTTCTTTCTGCCGTTTCATCTACCCAACATCTGTTCCATAACGCCTCTGCACAATTATAGAGGATTCTCAGGTCTTTTGACAAAGAAAAAAAATGTTGAACTTCAAGACACATTTATCACAGCATAATTCGATTTTTCCTCCTGTTTACATATGTACTTTCTGGTTGATATCCCAGGATGTTGGTGGTTGATTATAGCATACTCTTCACTGTTAGATGCTGGAATTTCTGCAGACCTGTTCTCAATGTGAACAGAAGCAGGTAACATTGAAGTTGTTGTTTCTCCTTTACTGAAAGAGTGGATGTCATTCACAGCTGAGAATTGAGTTTGCAGGATGGGAGAAAACTGGTCGCTCATCTTGGGAAGTTCTGGTATCATATGTGAAGATTTTTCCTGCAGAAAACAAAATATTAAAAGTACTTTATGTTACAAATATAATTATTTTAGTTCATGAAACAACTATCTACCTACAACATTTAAATACCACCCACTGGACTTGAGTGTCTTCCCAATCGTACAAACTTTGCATGATTGTGACAAATTTGTAGAACTTCACTTCCTCTCTTACCAGTGATGCTCAGATGTTTGCCTACTGTATATTCTACAAAATATTAATTTATCTATGGAAGGCTGCTCCAACTCTACCATTTACTGCAGCATGCAGAGATGCTAGTAAATGTTTTATTTTTTTTGCAACAGCAACATGGAGTAGGAAAGAGTTAAAATCAAAAACCTGTGTGTCTTTAGTGGACTCCAATGCCTAAAGAATTTTGTTTTCATACAGTATGTCTTGCAACTACTGCGATGGACTGGCGACCTGTCCAGGGTGTACCCTGCCGCTCACCCGTAGACAGCTGGAGATAGGCACCAGCACCCCTCGCGACCCCACTTGGGATTAAGCGTGTAAACATGGATGGATATCTTGGAACTGTTACAAAGTAATGATAAAAAAACCCTGAGCTCATAGCATCCACTTGTTCTTACCCCATTTTTTTTTATTTCCAGATACAGTATGATACCAAGAAGTTCGGAGGTAGTCCAACAAACAATAATACAACATTAATTATCAAGCCTTTTCTGTATTAAATTTGTTACTGGCCCAATGTATTATTATCTTAAAAGTTGCATTTTTAGTTTTAAATAAATATTTGGAAGCATCACTATGTGATTTAAGTTACTAAAATAAATGAACTAATCTATGTTATTTAAATGTATTGAGTCTGTATGTGCAAACTGGTACCGACACCATCCATATGCCTTTTAGATTCAGATGCTCTGTCAGATCATTTGGACTGCAGAGATCTGCTAGGATTCATTGGACATTACTGTCTTGATAAAAGGAGTGCTACAATCAAAGATTTGGAGCTGTGGAAGCCCAGTATAGCCGTGATGTTAATAGCTTGGCACTCCCTGCTTTAAATTCTCTGAAGACAAATGGAAATATGTCACAGATAAACATCCATTGCATTAAACAAGTTCCTCCCTGCAACTCTCGGTACATAGACAGTTAATCAATTAATCGTTCATGACCCATGAAGTTAATTGATTATATCTATTCTGATTTCCCCACCCTTTCTCCCAAAACAAGTCATATTATTGTAGCATGGCAGAGCATTGCCTTGAATCTGATTTTAAAAAATGTGGAGTAGGCTACAGATTTTCCGGCCGCCTTTCAACATCAACTTAAAGCTCATCACCTAAGTCACTACTAGTCACAAAACTAGTAGAAATATGGTAAAGGCTGGTAAGCAGTTTATATTAAGAGTTTACTTGTATAATTACCAGATTTATTATTACTGTAAATATAGAAAATTATGGAAACAATTTTTAACATGTAATTTTTGAAATATTTTTTAATGAGTTTTTTTTTCCAATGATTACTTAGACCCAGTTAAGATAGCCTTATTATATTTTGATAGATGCATTTCCTATTTGCTATCAGGAAAAAAAAAAAAACTTGCTGACTTTAATAGTCTATGAATAGTGTATTGTTAAGGAGGTTTAAAACTGCATCCTGTTTAATGTTATCCTAGAACTACTGTACATACTAGGATTGTCAAATTTCCTGAGATTAATGATATTATCTTACAGTCTTATTGATCCAGACAGGGTGAGTATTTTTCAAAAAAATAGAACTGAAAGTTCTGCAGTAAACTGGTTAAACATTACCTCTTGCTTTTGTTGATTGCAGGTCCATGTTCCTGTTCCAAAAAAGAGATTTAGGATGGAAATATTTAAAAGAATATAGAATAGCTTATGCTAAATGAATATTCTCACGTTTCCAGCTATAACAGCACACATGGGTCAACACTATTGCTGTGGTCACCAGGAGTACTATGCTAATGCAGATCATGAAGTAGGGCAGCCAGGATCCATCATCACCACGAGTCTTTGAACCAACTGCACACAAAAAATTATATTTATCATATATGTATGATGACATGTGTGAAATGAAACTATTGAGGACTGTAAATCTTATTACCACCACCATCTTCTGGGTCTTTTACCCCTATGTTTCGGTCTTTAAAAATATAAAAGATAGCAGATATGGTTAACACAGTGACATAAATACATGAATATTATGGGTAAATTGAGGTAATACAGAAATTAATAAATACCTGAAACAGAAATGTTGATGGCATGGCTGACACTTTCATCTCTGTGTTCTAAAGCACATCGGTACAGGCCATCATCAATAATAGAAACCTGGTTAAAACTCAAATAGGAGATAAGATCATCTTTGTGATATTCCTGTCTGATGGTTATATTCTCCGTGTTTGGAATGATCTTATAGCTGCTTGTATTAGAGAGTTTCCACCATGTGATATTTAGTACATTTCCACAGTGTTTGACGGGACAACTGACTGTCAAACTTTGTCCTGGTATAGCACGGTTTGTCGTACCTCTTCGCACTGTGAATGTAACGTCACATGAAGAACCTGTCATTTAAAAAAAAGAATCTGATTTTAGCTGTCAGAAAATTATACTAAATCCGAACTGTATTCAAATAAACAAGGAGAAGAAAAGAAATTTATCCTTGTTTAACTATGTAGCTAATTTTATGTGACAAAATAATTTTTTATGCGTTTTTATTTTGTGTTTGGTTTAAATGTAAGCTCATTCAATTACACACAAATATATATATATAAATATATATATATATATATATATATATATATATATATATATATATATNTATATATATATATATATATATATATATATATATATATATATATATATATATATATATATATGTTTTGAGTTATTTTCATAAATTTTCAATGTAATACTTTCAGTACCATTTAATGACATCAACCTTTTCAAAGTCACTGAAAAGTCAGAAGTGGCACCAAGACATGGGACTAACAACAATTAATTAGGATTCCTGAAGTCTAATTAGGACTCATTAGTCACTAAACTTTAACTTCACAACAAGCCATAACAGCCAATATAAAGTGGTGAACCCATTACTTTAGGACAACAATAACAACAGCTACACCATTTTTCACAATCAATGCAAAAGTAATTCAGATATCATATCCACACCATAAATCATACACATTAAAAGCAACAAAATGAATGGTGTATAGAGATTGCTTTTAAATAACAGGAAAAGCCATTTTTCAGATTTACATTTTTGGCATTTTTTAATAGATTAAATAAGAAAAAACATTATTTATTTTATTTTGGAGCTTTTTAAATGTGAAAATGTAAGTATTAAGGTAGTTTTCCTAAATGCTTTTCTCCTTTTAACTTATTTGTACCTCTTTAATTAACCAAATAAATGATAAATCAAATCAGTTTGTGTCCAGTTCAATTAAGCTATTGCTTGAGTAATCTTTGTCCTAAATCTTCCTTACTAGATTATTGTCACATACAAACTTAACCACCATTTTTAGCCTCAAAAAGCCTATTATTTTCTTGACAAAGATCACTTTAGCAAAATAAAGCTAAAGAAATTAGGTTAAACAAAAAGTTTTACCTTCATCTTCTCCACTGACGCAAATAAATACAGCACACCAAATGATCAGTAGTTGCATTCCATCCATTATGCATCTTGGCTCATAACCATATTGTCGCATGAACTGCTGAAGGCTCCTTTAAGCAGTTATAACCACTTCCTGACCCAAAGGTTTTCTTAAGCTATCCTGCACGCGTATTTCGGTATATCATGTGGTGACAAAATTCCCCGTATGCATTGATAGAAAAAGTATATATTTTAAACACACGTAGAGGTTATGTCATCATTTCCACAATCAGTACAGAGACATACCAATGGTCACTGCATTATGTTATAATAAACTCATGCGGCATTTCTTTTGGTAACATGACCAAAGTCATAACTGAAACAGGCAACGTTCTCATTCATTTACCAGCAGTTCTTTTGTGCAAATGGGAGCACAGACACCTCAAGGTTATAATGATCTTACAAAAAAAGAAAAAAAAGCTTGTGCTGTTTAGCTTCAGCTGATGGCAAATTAAACTTTACCACTGCAGCTATGTTTAGTTATCAAACCTTTGGTCAGTTTAAGAATAAAAACAAGGATGGTTCATTAAGAACCAATCAGCCTTAATAGAGGCTCTGATATATTTTTTTTTTCAAGCCCATTTTCTCTTAAAGGGGAAAGTTAAAGTGTTAATGGTCAGGCAAGGAATAAAGCCTATATATTAAGGTGCAGACAAGGAAGCAGAGTCATAGTTTAACACTGCTCTACAGGTTTTCTACTGTTACCCACTCATTACTTCACCCAGACCACGACAGGAGTTTTGCGGGCTCTTTTGGTTGAACAAGTGACTGTAGAGATGGTCATTATGCTCAAGTAGCTGTGGCAAGAAAGGTCTAAATACAATCCTACACAGACTTATAAAATACTATAAACCTTGCTATTATGAAGACGATTAATTTCATGCGCTGGTTGTGGTGTTTTTGTTTTCTTTTTCCATCTTTCTCCTGCCCTCAGTTCATGTTTGTCTTGTTCAGGGTACCCAAAACAGGTGACAATCACCTGGACAACAGAGGTAAGATGAGATGACGTTCCTGAGCTCAGGCAGAAGGAGCAGGGAATCAGTGAGAGAATGCAGGATAAGTTTTCTTCTTCTTATGGTGTCCTCATTAACTCAGGATCTAGTGGAAAAAAACTTTGATCTCTCTGTTTCCTACTATCAGTGGTGTGAGACTTCCAGATCTCTCTCAACACTGCCATCTTGTGTAGAAGATCACACATTACAAATTGTGAGTTGGAAAAAAAAGCTTTTTGTTAAACTAGGTAGAAAACAATATCAAAGCAACAATAGTAGTCCTCTCCGCAGTAAGAATGGCTGAAACTCTGACAGATTGATAATAGGGTCCTTTATAAACATCTTAACACTAATCTCCTCCCTCTAAATTGGTCAAATTGTTGCTCATATCCCCCTAGCTCATAGTATTTCACCTTTTGTGGAGTAAATAGTAAGAACACTAACATGTAGGAAAGGAACTCCCGACTGATGTACTAAATCTAAACAGCATTTAGCCGTTTTGGATGTTATTACGCAACATCAACCCACACTACACATGCCTTTTTAAGTTATTCTTCAAATAAAGATGAACTGCAAAGGAATAAACGTTACATAAATATAGAGAATAGCTGAAGCTGTCATTTATAAAACCCAAAACATATGAAGGTGTGTTTATGACAATACAATGCAAAGCACAAATAGGAAATGGAAACAGGAAACATCCTGCTTTGTTTTCCTACCTCCTTCCATACTGCCTGCAGTATTCGGACACCTCTTATCCTTGCAACGGCTGAGGTGTTCTACTTTGGCTTAAGTTTCCTCACCAATTTACACAGTTTGGATGAATCCTTAGTCAGCCCAAGCCTTGACCCAACCAGGCTTTGTCCCCTAGCTCAGTTGCCATGGTAACCCAGCCAGACTCACAGTGAGCCAGGGTAATGAAATCCAAAAGACATCAAATTAAGCTGGGCTTGGCGAACTAACCCTGGTTTATGGCCTAAGCCAGATTTATGAAACACCCTCTGCTGGTTCAAAACTTCACAGAATTTTGAAGGCCTGTGAGCTCATTGTAATCCTTCCCCATATTTGTGTTTTCTCTGTCTCTGAGTTCTATTGTACCAACAGTTCCTGATTTTAAGCTTGGGGGTTTGCACTCCAACATGCACTGACAGCAGTGGGACCTTATAGAGAAAGATGTTAACCTTTTCTAATTATGTCCAATGGACTGAATATAACACAGTTGGACTCATCCCTATGACGATAAGAAGAAAATGCATGCATTGCATAGCTGGCAAACTACTTTTGTATCTACTTTAACATTTAGAAAATTGTAAACCAGCCTTTGCAAAACACTAAGGTTTAGAAGTGAAAGATATTTTTAACAATGCACATGCAAAACAAACAAAAAAAAAACTTACTTAATTCCAAATGTAATTCTGTAAACAAAATACTGAATAAATTATCGCCTTTCAAAGGTGCAGATATGCTAACCAGGTCACACTTTTAAACAAATAAACCACAATCTAAAACATTAACCTACACCAGTTGCTGCAGGGGCTTTGCTTTATCACTCACCACTTCATTACCACATCCTGTCCTCCTACAACATCCCGTACAAGTGTGTTTCAATATATCAAAAGAAGCTGAATGTACTGAACATATCTGAAAAAATTAATCCAGCATGTAAAATATATATTTATGAGCAAGAACTCCACTTTGGCCCAAGTGGAAAGGTATAAACCTTATTCAGTTTTTATGAGAAATCCAGAAATTTCATGTAAATGTTACATCTAATGATAAATTAATAGACAACATTTATATAAACTTATGTATCGAATAGTAAATAATGATCAAGACTATTTCAAAGTGTTAAACAGGTTGTTGGTTTCTAAATATGTCATGTTTTGCTTTAACACCTGCGTGAGTGACTTTTAGGAGAAAAAACTTTCCTTCCTTTCAGTTCAATTCAAAGATAGCTTATTGATCCTATAAGATCAGGGGCTTTCAACCCTGGGCCACATGAGCTCCTGTCCTCCATGTTTTTGATGTCTCTGCTTCAACTCGCCTATATTGAATACTTGCAATCCCTCCTCCACAGCTATGAAGAGGTTTAAGAGGCCTTTTAATCATCATTTAATTAGGTGTGCTGTGTGGAGGCAGAGGAACACCTTAACATGCAGGACTGTGGGACTTAAGGATCAGGATGGGAGATGCCTCTTGCTGATGGTTCAAGAGGCCTCCTTCTGCAGGGGCAGGGTGCAACCATTTTTACATTACATACCGGAAGGTGGGTAACTAAGACCACTTTTGAATTGTTTTATTTCAAAGCTTATATCACTTTAAAGTGTTAATTTATAAAAAATAAAAATTTAAAAGATCCCAACGTGCTGTTTGTCTAGATTTTTAAACAATATTTCCTTCCTATACACAATCAGCCATAATTTTGCTGATAAAGTTCTGTCAAATGCAAATAAAAGCTGTTGGTTACTGTGGGAAGTTAGAGGGGTGCAAAGCAGACAGGTTGGCATGGGAGTTTGAGCAAATAGAAAAACCTTTCTTGGTGGATCCTGGAGACAGTTGTGACACTCTGGGATGAAACTTGGATGGAAACAATTGAGAAAAGTCTAAAAAGTGGGTTATCTAGGAAATAATCTCTGGGATGTCCAATGCACAGAGGGCAAAAAGGACAAAAGTTATAACTTAAATGACAAGCTGATCGGGAGCCAGTTCATCTAAAACTCAAGGAAAAGGAGTAGTTAAGGAACAAGTGTGTTAAACCTGCAGCCCTAAGGGAGAATAGAGCAACACACAAACACACACACACAAAAAACTGATTCCAAAAATGATGTTAATGTCTATTATTGGTTGCATTACAACCAGTAACTTATATGGCAAAAGTTGATGCTGAATTGATGCGCATGGACTACCACACTGGGTTTCTGAACAGCACCATCCAGTGTTGAAAGTTGATACATGATAAATTTACGGTAGAAGGTTTGTGCCACTAGACCACACTTGATTATTATTGCAAGTGGTTTTGCTTTTATTGTACTTTTTCCCCCACGTTTATGTTTATGTAAATCATGTATTTGCATGTCTGTGGCAACTGTTAGAAGAAAGAAATTGCACAAAAAGTTCAAAAGCTGACATGAGAAATGAAAAAAGGTTAAAAAAAAGAAGAAAACACAGGAAAGCAGTTGTATTAAAAACTGCAATGACAGTCATTTAATATTGATTTAATATTTCATGATTTGGCTCTTGCACACTTGTAAGCAGTCTACAATATACTGGTTTATCCAAGAATCCTTCCTGCTGGTTTTGTCCTCTATACTTTGTCCTTGTTTTGTTTTTAATCATACTGTATGGGAGTTCCTCAGGGTTCAACATTTGGAAAATTCATTTTCTCTCAAGATTTGATCAGCTTTACATTCAGCAAGTACTTCATTAAGTTTCTCTTCAGATTAGAATTACAGATTCCTTACATTATAATCTGAAATGTCACCATTTGCTTTTAAACCAATGTTTTGCAACTTTATTTTGTGTTTGGACACAGACGGAGAAGGAGCCATAGCCAAAACAATGAGAATATCACTGTAAAGGCTGAAAATGTCAGGGTTCCTATGTGTGTGTGTGTTAGTGCGAGTTGTGCATCTCTCCTGTAGAGGATCTTTGTGGAGAACTTGGGTAGCCTACACAGGTGAAAGTAATCTTGATAATCATAGTACTGGGCTTAAAAGAGCACCAGAGCCTTCATTCAGTGCTGCTTTCTTGTGTGCTGAAGATGTTCGTTGCTTCCTACTCTCTTGCTTCCCTCGAGTATTTTTCCTGAAGTTTTTTTGGTTTTGTTTGGTTTTCATCATTTTTGTATTTTGGATTTTTGCCTCTGTTTCCTTTGGACTTACATTAAACCATCCAAACTCATCCGTGCCTACTCCTCTCTGCATTTGGGTTGTCAAAACCTACACTCAACCTGACAGAAAAAGGGATGTCCCATACTTGTTAGATGAACAGTGCACATGAAAATAGTTCTGAATTAAAGATGCATTAGTAAAAATGCATTTTCACT